AGTAGTAACAAGTGCCTCGCTAGTAGTAACAAGTGCCTTACTAGTAGTAACAAGTGCCTCGCTAGTAGTAACAACAGATGCGAAGGCAAAAAGTGCTCTACCCTAGTGGCGATGGCCTCGCGTCGAAGAGACCGAGCCAAAAGTGCTCTAGATACCGAGCCAAAGACCGACAGAGCGATCAAGCTACCTGCGGGTGTCGAAGAAAGGTTCGATGGAAATCCAGTTCCTTCGCATGAATGGAAATCGAAAAAAAAACAAGGTGAGCCCGCGGACCCAAAAGCAAAAGAAGCGCACAACCCAGGAAAAATAAACAAACACAAATTAGCAGGCCAAAACGAAGCATCAGCCCCCCTCCAGGCTTCGTGGCAACTATGATATTTCAAGCATCGCGGTTCTGGTGCAACACAGCTTCACTCACCTCCCAACGGGCTTCCGCGAAGCATGGAGCAGCACTACCCCCACCCATGCTTCGTTCTGCTCAACGCAACAATCCTGCCGTTTCAGCCACGACTCCGTCTGTCGCGTGCATTGCGCACTCTTTGGACACCCAAGACCATCGTATAAGCCCCGCAGCTCCACTCACCTCCCAACGTGCTTCCGCGAAGCATAGAGCAGCACTGCCCCCACCCATGCTTCGTTCTACTTGTGCACTGACCCGGAGCAGCCTGCAATGATGCTTGTGGTGCAACCATGTCCTCGTAACTAGCATATCAGCCGCGCAAGCGTCCACACCCATGCACTCCCCAGCGTCCACACCCAAGCCACGCCGTCTCACTCCCCTCCATCTTCCCTCCCCAGCCCCCTCCACACCCATGTGCGCCTCCCACTCCCTTCCTTCTTCCCTCCCCACCCATGCGCCTCCCGTCTCGCTCCCCTCCATCCTCATGCGCCCCCCGTCTCGCTCCCCTCCATCTTCCCTCCCAGCCCCGACCCCACGTGCCTTCCGTCGCGCTCCCCTCCACCCATGCACCTCCATCTTCCATCCCCAGCCCCGTCGCCTCCCATCTCGCTCCCCTCCATCTTCCCTCCCCAGCCCTTGGCATATTTCTAGGGCTCCGTCCGACTCTGCGCCGCACGGCTCCGACGGATCCCCAGTTTGGGCCACGTGTGGCGTTGGGCGCGTGGCAGTTCCGTCTTTCGTCGGGTTGGCTTTTGGATGTATCATATACCTGGAACCTGAGTGACCCCTGTTTTGGAGGGTCAACTATCCCAAATATCAACTGGTTGTTTTCAATCTGCAGCTAGTCTCCAATAACAACATGGCTTCTGACAACCGTTCCAGGAAGCCTGGCGCAGTATCGGCCCCCTCCAAGGTTCGTTCCAACCGTACAATTTCCCACGTTGCGCTTGTGGCACATAACGCTCCTCCCGTGTCGGCCATGCCTTGACTGTCTGGCGCATGTACTGTGCACATTTTGGACACCCAACCCCATCGTATCAGCCCCGCAGCACAGAACACACGTCCACGAAGCATGGACCAGCACTACCCCCACCCATGCTTCGTTCTACTTGCGCACTGACCCGGAGCGGCCTACCATGATGCTTGTGATGCGACCATGTGCTCAACGCAACCATGTCTGCCGCGTGCATTCTGCCCGTTTTGGACACCCAAGACCATACCTCAGCCCCGCAACACCGCTCCATTCACCTCCCCACGTGCCTCCGCGAAGCATGGAGCAGCACTACCCCCACCCA